TCTTATAAAAACCCTGTACTGCTTGTAACAAATTGAGTCTCTGGTTGCACTTTGCGAAGTGGCAGCAGGGCTCCCAATATTGCAATATTGAAATAAAGACCTAACTCAGGTGAGAACTCTCTCTTGTGGCTTCCTTGATAGTTAAATTTCCACGACACCAGCCACGTGACTGCAGCTGATACCCTGTGTACTTTCCCAGGCAGGATGAGATCCTCCACTCAATTAGCTTACCAGCTTGTAATTGCCTCCTCTTGTGTGTAACCTTTCTCATCATCTTATTGTTGTTTGGCTCTCTCTGTTCTTTCTGCCTGCCTTCCCTCCCAGCTGTGCTCTTGCTCTGTCGCCTCGGAGTCACTCCATCCTGCTGGAAGAGCTCCATTAACGGGACTGAACCACAGTGAGAGCCAGGGCCCCTCATTGCCTGCAGGCTCGGAGACGCGGCTCTGACCAGGCTGTGCTAATTGCAGGAGAGCCGAGACCCCTGCTCATCAGCAGGGAGCTGAGCCACAGGGGTGGGGAGGGGCAGTGATACAGGGCACTTACTGTGGGACCAGACAGTCTTTGGTTTCCTGCACTTCAAACGCACACAGAGAGGTGACTGGAGAGCTCTCTCTCTCTCCCTCTCTAATGGAAAAGGTGCCATTTTTAAAGTGCATTTCTTTCTTTACTATTTCCTATCTATTTATTTCCCTTGGGGACACAATCTATTTTTAGGCAGTTTATTTTTAATTCTCTTATTGCTTTTGAACAGATAGATAATTTTCCCGAGATCCTCCACAGGCAGAAGATGAAAGGATATTTGCCCTAACAAATGCGGAGAGAAACAATGACAGTCGGAGAGCTCCGTGGTCAGTCCCCGGTTAAGTTCCTTTCGCAGGTCCTGCGTTTGCATGCACCAGTGCTCCAGAGAGCACAGAGAGGGACATCAATTCCACACAACTACGGATTGTGAACCAGTTGAGTGGTCAGGGTATGGGACCATAACGCACAATCATCGCAACACAGAGCTTTGCAAGCCCACGTCTTTGAGGGACACTGGGGGAGAAACACCTTTGCCTCCATGCAGAATCCTTGAAGAAGTGGCCTGCAGAACACAGAGGAGTAAAGAAAAAAAAATAAAATGACACATGATGTAAAAGATAAATTACTGTAAGAATCTGTGACATGGGTAAAGAGTGATTTTTTTTAATTTGTAGGCAAAAGACAGAGACTTTAGGCTTAGCGAGCTGTACACTTCTCCCCTAGATCACCTACTTCTAGAAACTGGGAGCACATACGGTATAACAAATGCATCAAGCAACGTGCCCTGGTGAGGAATCTCTGATGGAGCACAGTTTGTCCAGAGGCTGAGAGGCCCATGTGTCAGCGCTCTCAGGACTTTGTGAACACTCTGAAAGATCACTCCCAATTCAGGTCTTCATTTTTGACACTGTCATGTTCCTGTTGAAAGAGATCAGTCTTTTTGGTTGCATTTTCTCCAATTCTGTTTCATCTCCTCTTTGGGAAATATGAGGCGTCCAGGGTAGACTGGACAGTGTGATCCCTAACAGAGTCAGGACCGCGGTTTCTGGAGAGTTCTGGGCCTTGACAGTATGGTAGAGCCCCAGCTCATTGAAAAGGCACCAATTCCAGTTTAATAATAAACTGCTGCTCAGGTACAGTTTTCTGAATGCATTTCTGAGCTCCAGACGGATCAATACAGCTCCTGGAACTGTGAGAGACAGGCTGGGAGAATTCACTGTGCTGCAGAGCTTGCAAAACCTGGATTTCTGATCTAACCAGTCTTGATCCTGTGCTTTAATTCTCCCCTGCTGATACGCTATAGAGCACAGAGAGTTTTAAAGGACTTTGCTTCTGTTCTTGTATTTTCTGACTCTTGTAGAACATCTCGCATTTGCAGGAAGAAAAAAACAATTTTCTTGTCTTAAAAAACTCTCAGCAAAAACCTTCTTACTATTAAAAGCAATATTAATAACATTGATATTTTATTAACTGCTTTTCCAAATGACTTCAAAGGGCACAGTTTTCCTCTATTCCTCTATCTAATCGATCAGGCTATCGAGCCAAAACTTGAGTGCAGCCAGAGTGTCGGCCTCAACAAAACGTTTGTTGAAGACCCCCACAACCCTTTGTGTAAAGACATGCCTCCAGTTCTCCCCCGGTGTTTCAAAGTTGTGACCTCTGGTTTGATTTTATGGCCTGTGTAAGTGAGCAGTGCTCAGGTTCAATCATTACCTTCTCCTGATTTTTTCAATCTAGTCTGTCTTTGGATGAGGCATGGGCAGCACCCAGATGGTCACAGAATGTCCTGGTAAATACAAGCAGAAGGTGCCATTCAGGAGCCCAGATCGATTTACAACAGCGACAGTCTTGTCCTACCCAGGTATATTCGCGAAAAAAAACCCCAACTAAAAATGATATCTTCCCGCTGCGAATTAAATGTGCCGAAAAGCATCTGTACAAATGCTGGCGACAGGAAAAGACAGCGGAGGAAGATTGATACAGTTAATATACTTGAGGATGTTTCGTTTGAGAGAGCAGAACAGGGCGTCTCAGTCTGTTTAAACACATCTCAATCAGTCATAAAAAAATACAGCCCTAATCTCGGCCATAAAAAAGCAGGGTAGGCCTTCAAACAGGAGCTAGAGAGGTCTGCTAAAAGCCTGTAAATAGCCCCTGCCTGCCTGCATTAACCCTTTACGCCCTCGAGAGATGCTTCTTGCTTTAGGAGAAATTTTGCTTTGCCTCCTTCTTCTTAAAGTGTTTTACTTATTGATTTATCCCCCACTACCCTCTCCTTTCTGATTTGCTCCTTACCTATTAATTGAACCCTTGGGGCAGATGAGAGGCTCCAGTTGGCAGCTGTTACCTGGCAGCCCGGGGCTATACGGCCTTCAAGCCTGACCGGGTCAGAACCCTGGAGCTCAGACAGGCCGGTAGTACCGAGGACGTAGGATCTTGAGCCAGGCGAAGAGTCGCCAGTGCACCAGTAGGTGGTGCTCTCACACACACTTGCTTTTCTCGTTTAAATTCCATCCCACCTACCCAGTGATGCAGGATACCATCTTTTGAGAAGGACAGTAAGTAGTGACGGCCCCTACCTGGTTGTCATACCCCTGCCGAAAAGTTAAATGGGCTAATATTATCTCTAATTAGTCCTATTTAATTGTTTGTAGCTCTTGAACCAATGGATGATTTCAATTCACAAACTAATGTCCTAAATGTTTCGTCTCCTAACCTTTGAAGAAGGCACACATAATTGAAACTATCTATTAACATAAACTGAGAAGGCTTTCAAACAAAAAGGAGCTACTCTGCCCATCTAGTTCAGTTGTGTATTCATAGCTACCTGATGCGAGGATCACATCCAGCTGTTTTTTTAGACACAAAGCCACTACATAGATTTCCACAACATGTCTCGGCAACTTGTTCCATACTCCCACCACCCTTTGTGTAGAGACTTGTTTCCCGTTCTCAGTTTTAAATTATTTCCCCCTGTAGTTCCTGATTTCCTTGAAGTATTATTTTAAAGAACAGTCTGATCACACAGCCTGGTGCTCAGGCAGAATGTGGCCAGGTTGAGCCACCTGCTTGTCCCTTTACCCTGCGGCCCACGGAGATCCCGGAGGGCTTTACCACAGAGGAGGCGCCTGCTACCCCGGGGCAGTCCTCGCACTAGACGTCTGAGGGTAATCAGCAGGGATTGCAAAACTGTAAATGTGCACGACACGCCCGTGTGGTGACATCCTGAAAGGGCAGGCTTGCGTTTGCCACAGCAGGAGTGTGTCCTGCAGACTGTGTGTCTGTCTGACGCCACTCACGGTAGGTGAAACACGTGCAGGCAGATGCAGAAGCACCGCCAATCTGATCACTGCGAAAGGTTTGCAGTCGCTGTTCAGAGACAGAGGGCTCCATTGTGTAGATGTCAATCAGCCGCTTTTGTTGAACAGTTCTCACATTGAGAGCCGTCCCTGAGCACTGTACTATGAGTCACGACCTAACAGAACATATTCATCTCTCTCTCCATAAAGAACTATATAGAAAAGAAATAAAAAAAAAAACACAAAACAAGCTGGAGCACTGAGTCACATTGTTTCTATGGAAAAAGTTGGCGCTCAGCCCTTGTTTCACTGTAAGAAAAAGAAAAGTTTAGCTTTGTCTCATGAGGACTTGTGTTTTTGCTTCGTAGTGGTTCTCACTCTGGTGTTTCATAATTCAACAAGAGGAAAATATTTCCAAAAAAGTTTTTTAGTTATCACTCCAATGAGAAATGGTATATGTTTTTAGCCCTTTTGCACATGTAACATGAGCGACCCGCCGCGTCCAACCATACTGTCACTGAGCTGAACCTTACTGTCACTGAGTTGAATCACACTGTCTGTTTGTTGAACCTCATTGTCAGTGAGCATAACCACACTGTCACCGAGCTTCACCACACTGTTCTTGTCTTGAACCTCACTGTCACTGAGCTGAACCACACTGTTCCTGTGTTGAAATTTTACC